AGGGGATCAGCGCTTGAGCCGTGGAGGGTTTGAAGGCTGGCAGAGTGAGCTGTGATTGCAACCATTGACACTGTACAGCTGGAGACGAGTGAGACGTTTGTTCTCACTATGATATGTGTTGGGTAGGGGTGAGAGGAGGGGTGGTGTGTGTGTGCTAGAAAAGTTAGGCTAGTAGAATATAAAGTATGATCTGCAGTGATAAAATGAGTAAGATATCATTTCCAAAAGAGGAGGCTTTGAGGGAAATTGTATCTTACTGGCAGGGTTTAGGTGGTGATAGTGGATGCGTAGATTTGGCTATGTTCCTATAAGAGCGTCTGAGTTGTATTTTTTTTTTAGTAGAGATGGGGTTTCTCTAGGTTGCCCAGGCTGGTCTTGAACTCCTGACCTCAAGTGAGCCACCGTCCTCACCTCCCAAAGTGCTGGGATTACAGGCATGAGCCACCATGCCGAGCTCCTCTTTTTTAACTTAGGGAAAATAATATCTACTCTCTAGCATCGTTTCGAAATGCTGAAATGTTCACCTGAAACATCTAGGGCTAGAAAAAGGCCTGGAAATCATTCCTTTATATCAATACTTCTTAATTTTCATTCCTACTTTTCAGTTAAAAAATAACTCAGTGATAAGAATCCATGAGGAAATAACACTTAAAAGTTCACAACTCAGCAGTTATACAAGAACAAAATGATCCACAAAAGTAAACCTGTCATTGCAAAAATATATTTAAAAAGCAATAGGAGTGGAAATTGGAAACCATGATAGAAAGAAAGAGAGAGAGAGAGAAAGAAAGAAAGAGAGAGAAGAAGTAAGGAAAAAGAAAGAGAGGGAGGAAATTTCCCCCCCAAAATGTGAGATTATAATAACTACATGTGCTCAATCACTCTTAAGGATTCTGCCTCATTATGAAGCAGCTCCTCTTAGAATACAAAGTTAGAGACCTCAATAAATGATAGTTTACCATTAATTTCAGTTGTAAGTACTAGATTTTAGTAACCCTAGTGGGTTACTAAAGACACTTCTTATTTATATGTAAAAATAGATGTCCATTGGACTACATGTGATTTGCCTCTCAGGAATAAGAGAAGGGTCAGTGCCTGGGCATCAGAATGACGGTTTACAGGTAAAACCACCAGTGGGCCTCTCTCCCACTGCTTATGCCAATTTTCTCTTGTTTTAGCCCTAAGGAAGTTTGGAAAGAACTAGTTAGCCAGCTATTTTCTTTAGCAAGTTAACAGAATAGGGAAGATTTCCAGGAGAGGCAGTGTAGCCTAACAGTTAAAACTAGGACTGTGGCATCACACAGAGTGGGGTGAGAAGCCTGGCTCTGCTACTGTGGGTTACTGAACCTCTCAGAGCCCCCGTGTCTCCTTGGGCAAAATGGTAATAATAATACCCATATCAAAGAGTGGTTGTATAGATTATATGAAATAATATATATATACCTGATGTGGCTCTTAGCACAAAATAGATTCTCTAGCTATCTCTAAGATTTTATATACTGTGTTATAGTTGAGAGGCAGTATGCACATTGGCTAGTGCTTGGCACATAGTGAAGACCCCATAAAAGTTAACTAGTGCTTACTTCAGCAGCACAGATACTAAAATTGAAAAAAAATACAGAGATTAGCCTGGCCCCTGAACAAGGATGACACAGATTTGTGAAACATTTAATTTTTTTTTTTCAGTTAGGAGGAGAAAGTTCAAGAGATCTATTGTATATGATGCCTATAGTTAATAATAATGTATTGTATACTTGAAATTTGCTAATGGATTTTGAATGTTCTCACCATAAAAAGTATCATAAGTATGTAAGGTGATGAATGTTAATTAGCCTGATTTAACCATTCCACTGTGTGTGTGTGTGTGTGTACAGCATGTTGTACTTCATAAATATATACGATTTTTATTTGTCAGTTAGAAATTTTAAAGCCATTAAAAAGAATAAGATAAATGTTAACTACTATCAGGATTTGCACATGACACCAATAATAATAAAGATGCACACATGTATTGTACTTTGAGAAAAACTGAAAGATATTGGTTATTTAACCCTAAGTCATCATTTTTTCCTGACCACAAAGCCAACAGTGATTCATTCTTTGATCTCAGGCAGAACTTGTCTTTTTCAACTGATTCAGCACTTAGGGTATTTGACTAATTCCTGTATTGCATGAAAATCTGTCTTGTCTGGCAACTACATGATGGCAAAAATTAGAAGGGGCAGCTTGTCAGGAGATAGCTTGGGACCTGTCGCTGCAGATAATCAACATAGTGGGGCACACCCAAGGAGGTACAGAAAGGAATCTACCTTTGAATTATTGCAATCAGTGGCCTTGAATCTCAGTTTGGAGATTCAATAACAATGCAGTAAGTCTCTTGTACTGCCTGGAAATCTGCTTTCATAGCCCTTTCCCAAACATCATATTAGAACACAGTAAGTGTTCAATAAATACTAGTTGGTTCATTGATCCTTTATGTATTCAAGAAAATTAAGAAGTCTCTTTTAATAATACAAGAATTTTTATGTTGCAAGGAGTAAAGTGACATTGTTTTCCCTTGTTAGAGACATTAACATTGTTAGAGAGAATGGACAGAGTTAAAGGAACCAGAGAAAAATTAAAGCAAGAAAGAATATTTAAACTATAAGAATAATTTTTTGAAAGACGAAACAAGCTTTAAAGGGAGATTCAAGGCTTTTTGTGTCTGCAAATCCTCTTCAGTAGCATCTGCCAATGTCTTGGACTGCTCAAATCAATTCTGCCTTATGCCTTTTTAAAAGCTCTAATATTCTTTAAAGCCAAATGTTCTCAGAGATTTTAAATTTTAAAATAATTTAAAAATGATTACAAGGTCTATGATACATTCATGGTACCATTCTCATCCATGGAAAACCTGAGGCACAAAAATTGGTC